AAAAAAAAAAAAAAAGATAGCGTGTACCTGCGTGCGTATTCACAGAAGAGCGAATGAAAAGGGTTGACGACGAGAGGATGCCGGCTATCTGGGTCTTCCTTAATGGCGGGCCTTATTCCATATATAGCATTAAGGTTTGGAGATTGATCTATCTATTGTTCGTAAATTTTGCTCAACCTTGGTCATACTTTGACTATTGACCTATTTTCGGTAAATTGATTTTTCAGCGTTTATTGTTGGAAAAACTGTCTATATTCCTGACGTGTTTGGTTTCGTCATTTTTGGTAAAAAAAAAAAAAAACGTTGTTTTACCGTGAAATGGTGTTTGGTTTTTCTCACCCACTCAAATCAAAGCAATTTGTGTGTTGCGGATTGTCTGGAGGAGAGTGGGGTGTTTTTCTAATTATTTGTGTCTTTCTCTAGTTTTTGTTATTCTTTTTTGCAGGAGCTGGATTATCCCTGGTGGGATTTGTTTAGTTTAGTTTGATTAGTCGTTTGTATTGTAGTTGAGTTAGAGTAGTATGTTATGATTGTGTATCGACTATAAAGGAAAATATGTATAAACCCGTGCTAGTTGTCGTCGGTCGACATGATTTTGGTGCTCAAGCCGAATGATTTTTGTTTGATATTACTTGAAAAGATAAACTAAAAGAAAGTCAGAAGATACAAAGTTTATTACGGTTCTGCAAATGAAAATTATGAAAACTGCTAAGGAAACTGCATTGAATTGTTGCTCAAATCCCACGATCTTCTTTCTTCACGGCATGGTGGTGTGGCGCGGCGCGGCGTGTTCCACAGCGTGAAAGATCTTTTCCTCGACCTTCTCTATCTGTCTGTTACGTCCATCGCGAGAAGCATCACGGCGTGGCGACTTGGAAGCTCCGCGGCGTGGCGTGGTCCCCGGCGTGACAACCTCTACCTCCTTCTTTGTCAGCCTGTTAGGTCTCTCGTGGCGTGGCAGGTCTAGCGGCGCGGCATGAGGCGTGACAATCTGCTGCATGAAGTGAACAGGCCTACTACTTGATTCATCCATCTGAACTTCCTTCATGTGAGCTCTACATGCCCGGTTGTAAGCATTTTTTAGAACACGTCTCTTGTTCTCATCATTCTCATCCCCTTCAAGCAAATCCTTGTCCTTAAGGATAAAGTCCAGAAGTTGATTACGTATTTCGTGAATGTTTTCCCATGTCTCCTCCTCTTTGGGTAGATCTTCCCATTTAATCAAAACTTCCCAGCGAAACCGTCCAGCTTTTTTTTTTCGATAGTCGACTGCCCGGGTAGGTCGTAGTATGAGTTGCCCTTCTTTATCCACATCCGGTAGCTTCGTTCAAATCTCATGAATATCACTTATACTCCTCTTTAATTGAGACACGTGAATGACGGGATGGATTTGTGACTCCACCGGTAAATCCAATTTATATGCAACCAATCCCACACGTTCTTTGATTTGATAAGATCCATAAAAACGGATCTCGAGTTTGCGCAAAGCAATTCTCGAAACCGCGTGTTGGCGGTATGGACGTAATTTCAAGTAAACCCACTCACCTGGCTCGAATTGCTCTTCACGTCTCCCTTTATCATAATACTCTTTCATTCGGTTGATTGAGCCGTGCAAGTTAGTTTTTAGCTCATGAATCATCAAGTCTCGTTCCATTAGCTCCCAATCAACCTCGGCATTCGGCGAATTTCCCATCGAATAAGTAATGAGTACTGGTGCCTTTCGTCCGTAGACCAATTCAAATGGAGTAAACTTGGTAGATGCATGATAAGTAGTATTATACCAAAACTCAGCCCATGGTAAAAATTCTTCCCACCTCTTAGGAAACCGATGAAAGTAACATGTTACCTCAGTTTGGCCGTCCATTTGAGAGTGGTACGCCGAACTCATTGCTAACTCAGTGTCGTGCATCTTGAAGAATTCCTTCCAGAAGTTTGAAGAAAATTCGATATCGGTCAGACACAATAGATCGAGGCACCCCGTGCAACCTAACCACATATTCCACAAATAAGTTGGCTATTGATTTTTCCGTGTAAGAGTGCGTAAGTGGAACGAAATGTCCATATTTGGTGAGTCGATCCACCACCACCATTATTCCATTAAATATAATCGACTTCGGTAGCCCTTCAATGAAGTCCATGGAAATATCCTCCCAAATTCGCTCGGGTATCGGCAGAGGTTGTAATAAGCCACTCGGTCTTCGGGAGTCCGACTACACTCGTTGACAAATATCACATCACATAGTCCCGAACTTTATTCTTCTGACCCGACCAATAGAAGGTGTTGGCTATTCGCAACCATGTACGATAAGATACCTGAATGTCCTCCAATCTTCGACTCATGAAAGTACCTTATGATCTTAGTCCTCAATTCATCATCCTCCGGTACATAAACCCTCCATTTAAACAATAGCTGCCCTTCATACACATCATAATCTTGAGCCGCTTCGTCTTGTGCTTCCATCATTCGACGAGCCTCAACACAGAACATATCTTCCACGTGGGCCTCATGTAGTTTATCCCAAATGTCCCAAGTTGGCCCAGAAATAGAATGTAACTCGTCAACATCGGTACGGCGTGATAAAGCATCCACTACCAAATTTTGGCGCCCCAGTCGATAGCAAATCTCAAAGTCGAATCCTATCAACTTCGATATGAATTTCTGGTGCTCCGGTGTCACGATGCGTTGCTCCAAAAGATGTTTAAGCAGTTGTTGATTTGTCACAATCCAAAAGTGTCGCCCTAGGAGGTAAGGTCTCCAAACTCGGATTGCTTCTACCACCGCCATTAGCTCCTTCACGTAGATCGACCACTGAATTCGTGTTTTCCCCAAAGCTTTGCTTAAGTAAGCAATAGGCCGACCCTCATGCATAAGGACCGCACTGTAACGCCCCACTTTTATTTGACGAAAATTAGAATAACTTTTATAAAATTTATTTCAAAATACTTGAGGCGCTACTCATTTCCAAAACAATTTCCAATCATATCATAAATGGATCTCCCAAACGGGTTCAATAATCAAGTCAACACCCAAATCGGGTTCATCCATAACATCAACTCTCGAAACTGGGTTACTCAAATTCATAAATACTAGGGAGTACACTGCCTATCTATCATCCAGTTATCAACATAAATCAAAACTTCATAAATAATACTAAGCAGTTCAAAGCAGCGGAAATAAAAACAGTAATATGACCACCACTCGCCTCCCTCTGTCGTGCCAGCAAACACTAACCTACATCCATGAAGAGCAGGTGGGGATGAGCATAAAAGGAAACAATAGTGCTCACCGCTATGCAATAAATGTTAATGACAATAATCAGTAATCGAAAGGTATGGTCTCAGCATGTATACGAAGCAATAATCTATCCCATCTCCCATCAATAATCAATAATCAAACTCATGTGCACACCTATATCAATAGACTACTGCTGACTATATATCGAATGCCCTCTGGACTTACATCGAGTGCCAGCCAGTAGGAGTTACCCCCGTCGGTCGAGCACCGCCCTGACACACAACGGGGAACCGACCGAGCACTGCCCTGGTCTCATACTTCCGACCGAGCACCGCCCTAGTCTCATGCCTCGACCGATCACGGCCTGGTCTCACAGGCGCATAGGGGAAATTACCCTAACAGGGTCTTTCTATATCTACGGAGATAACCATTCGACGGCCGATACAGGTCACATCGAAGGCTACATGATTCACATGCATACTTTGATTATACCACAAAATAAACATTTATAACATTTACGTCATAGGAAATTTTCAAATAAAATTCACCTGGTGTCGGATGATAAAGCAATATAACCAGAAAGTCGTAGGTGTTAGTGACATTGCTCGTCAGACACCTACATTAGTCAAGACAGTCCCATAAGCAACTATCTCGACTCTATACAGATAACGAGAATTATACTTAGTCGAATCGCATCGACTAAAATAATCGTGGAAGTTGTGGAGTTGTAACATGAGGACGACTCCTAGACTTGACCAACCAATTAATAAATCATATAAAAGCAGGCAATGAAGTTTTGACACGAAAACAGGGTCAACAGGTCACGAATTTGCCAACAAGGCCAACCGGTGCCAAAAAAGGGTTAAACGAACTAGTCCTTAATTATAAGAATGGGACCATAAGGAGTTAGGTTTGGACTTTTCAATTCAAATTTTTACAGTATAAAAGACTGAATATCACACATTTTCACCAAGTTAAACCCCTAAACATGCTCCTAACCATTTTAAATAATTTATGCAAAATCTGATCAGAAATTGAATTAAATTGTTTAAAGTAGCTTCAGTACGAATTTATGTTTGAAATTTTACAGCAGCAAGACATCATGAAAAAAAGCAACATATCCAAGAATTAGCCATTTTGGACAATAACTTGATTTTATATAAATTTATTACGAAAAAAGCCCAGAAATAGTTTTCGAGTTTGACGAGGCTACAGGCCATATAAAAATACCAAATTTTAACTACGGGTTATATATCAACAATATAACCATATATCCAAAAATCAAAATTTTTGGAGCAATAAACGAATTATAGTGATTTTAGCAAAAACCGACTACAACATGATTTTTAAAAATTCATATCTTACAATATACTCATCGAAACGACACAAAGCCAAAGCCATTGCATCAAGGACATTCATAAGTCCAATAATACACAACACTTCCACGAGAAATACCACATTAATCTCAGTTCGACAATTTCCCAAAGTGACGACAATAACTTTGGTATCCAACTAGCAATTATATAAATTCACTCGAATATATATCTAACGCACATATTTAACTCGAATATCATACGTTCAGCAAATTAACACATATGCAAGCACTTAAACAAATATATGAGCGAAATAAATAAATCGGGGGTTAGCCGGTTACTGTTCTCGGGACGGGATTACGAAACGGAACCAAACTGGGGCTAAACGGTTAGTACGTGCACGGTGGGGGGTCGATTGCTTGCAGCTCGGACTTCAGGACAGCAGCAAGGCCCTGCTGGTACTCACGAATAACAATACAAAGAGTACGTCGGGGCTCAACGGTAGCAGCACGAGCCAACAACAAGCGAACAATGATGATGAAACGAAGCACGAGATGTTGGGACTCACGAACTATGCAAGGTGGCGACTATCGAGGCCTGCGATTGGATAACGTGGCTCGCCGGCTACGTTAGACACTCCGACGGAACTCGACGGGACTCCACGGCCACGTTTGGCACTCTAACGGGACTCGACAGGACCCGACGAAGGGTGAGGATGGCGATGCGGGACTGATCACGTCAGGGCTCGAACACAAAGCAACAGGACTGCCGAACCAAAGTTCTGATCGCGGTCTCCTCCACGCAAGCGGGTCTTCCGGTTCACGGCTGGCATGTGCGGCTCGTTGGGGTGCTGAACGACGGCGACTTACCAGCAGATGGAAGAATCGCCGAGATGTTCGCGGGATGATGAAGATGGTGGCGCAGGTTTGTTGTGCGCGGAGGGCTGCTGCAGGAGGTTATGAAGAACGTGATGATACAATTGATGATGGTGATGATGCGTGAGGATCAGGTGCACGAGAAAGCTTTCTTCTTCCTTTCTTTCTTCTTTTTTTTTTTTTTAAAAAAAAAAGATGGGCTGATGATGATCGATTATGGTTGCAGTAGAAAAGGGCGATGATGGTGGTACGGGGATGATGATGATCAGGTGAATAATAAGGCTGCGGGAGGAAAAATATTTGGGTCTGCTATGGAGCTGCGGGATTTTATATAACTTGCTGAGGGAAAACCGATATATATATATATATATATATATATATATATATATAGCATCATAGGGTTTGATTAAAAGTTTGGCCAACAAGGTAAACTAAAGGGCGACGGGGCGGACCAGGTTGGCCGGTTGGGCTCGGGCTTCTCGGTTCACAAATAACCGTCGAGGCTCGATAATATTCGCACGATAATTAAAATAAAATCGGGAAAATTACTATATATATTTTTTTATAACACATTAAATATAATAAACATAATAATACTTAGTAATATCACATTAATCAAATTTAA